TTTGCTTCATGCTTGTGTCCCGTATTTATCTTCATTCTTTTTTCTCGTCACTCCCTAAATAATCTTCTTGTTTTAAGGAAGCAACAATATTGTGGTTGCTATCGTTTCTCTCTTCTAACCACACAGTTTTCACTTTTGCAAAGTCAAACGAGAAGTTAATTAAGGGAAGGGTTACTTTTTTTAGAAATGGCAAGGATTTTTAATAATGTTCGTACTAATAAAATCTTGCCATTGAATTTACAGATTCTATGTTGCTGAAGTTCTTCTTGCACTCGAGTACCTTCACATGCTTGGCATTGTGTACAGAGATTTGAAACCTGAGAACATACTGGTCCGAGAAGATGGTCATATAATGCTTTTAGATTTTGATCTATCCTTCAGATGTGCAGTTAACAATGACCCAAAACTGCTCAAATCACCTTCTCCTCTTCCTGAACCTTCAAACAGGATGTCCAGCCCATGTTCTTCACATTCGAGATGCTTAGAGCAGTCTTTCTGCCTCAATCCATCCTGGCAAGCATCTTGCTTCACCCCCAAGTTAAAAACTGCCGAGTTCGAAGCCGCCCAAATGACCCATCTTGTGGTGGAGCCTACTAGTGCCCGTTCCAATTCCTTCGTAGGAACGCAAGAATATTTGGCTCCTGAGATCATCAAAGGAGAAGGTCACGGAAGTGCTGTGGATTGGTGGACTTATGGGGTGTTCATGTATGAGCTTCTTTACGGGAAGACGCCTTTCAAAGGGACTACCGATGAGGGTACTTTGGTCAATGTGGTATCGCAATCTCTCAAGTTCCCAGAGAGTCCTATGATAAGCTCTAATGCCAGAGATTTGATCAGACGGTTGTTAGAGAAAGAGCCTGAGAAGAGGTTGGGATACTCCAAAGGAGCATCTGAGATCAAGAGCCATTCGTTCTTCGTCGGACTGAATTGGGCTTTGATACGATGTGAAAGCCCACCGGAAATTCCAAGGTTATCTGCCACAACAAACAACTCACAGAAGAAGAAGCAGGGTGAGAAAGAAGTCACAAGCAATGCAGAGGGCATTGGATTTGAGATATTTTAGCACATAGTGTACATTTAAGTGCTTTTATATTTCTGAAATAGTGTGCATGAAATCACATAGTTCCAGTTTGTTGGAATGTGAAATTTGAAATGGACGAAAATACCACGATGAAATACACGTTTCAGTATCACATAATAAAGAGTTAGGAATGGAAATAGTCAAGGAAATAGTAGGGTGAATGTGAAATGAATGTTTCATGGAGAATGCCGAATGGATGGTATGATTGTAGGCCTGGACTCGGGCCGGTTCGGGCCCGGGCCGGCGGTTCTGGAATGGGGGCCCCGGAACCGGCCCGGGTAATCCCCGGTTCCGGTTCGGGCCGGGCCTCGGGCCTTTGTTAAATTTTTTTTCTTTCCTTTCCCTAGTTAACCCCCAACCCCTCCCTCACCCCCAAACCACCCCAAATGGTCCAAAATACCCAGTCCAACCCGAAAAGTAAAAAGAATTGGAAAAAAAGGCCCGGAACCGGGCCCGAACCGGCCGGTCCGGTTCATGATATGGGGGGGCCGAGCCTGGAACGGAACCCACGCGGGTCGGGCCTACCCGGACCGGTCACTGACCGGTCCACCGGGCCGGAACAGTGCCGGTTCCGGGTCGGGCCACCCGGCCCGAGTCCAGGCCTATATGATTGTATATTTGTATCATATAACGTCAATCATAATTCATATGTAAGGCTGTCCCGCATCATAGTAACTCATTGGATCATGTAGGATGATTTAACAAATCTTACAAGATGGTGTTTTGTTCGAGTCTGTGTTATCTTTGAGCTTTGATATAATTAAATTGCTAGTTAGAGTTTGATAGTAAATAGTTGATACAGAATTGAATTTTAAGGTTTCATCCTAAGAGCTCAATTTAATTAGGTGCAATCCAAAGCATTATATAGCATGTTTCAATTACTAAATAAGTCCAATTCAAATATATAATCAAAATAAAATAAAAGTAGTAGGCAAAATGTAATCCTAGTAATTTAAGTGACTATAATTGTATTGAAATTTTACATTATAGTGACTATAAAACATACTCATAGGAACTTATAATCACATTTTTTCCAAAGGTTTTTTATTGGTAATATTTTAGAAAAAAACTTTAAAATTACGCTTTAAGGTGCTTGATTAGTGATTTCCTGAGAGTAACATTCACAAAGGTCTGTAATGTAGAGTCAGTTGAAATGGTGAAGAGCACACGAATCAAAACATATAATGATAATAATAAATAATAATACTATATAATAATAGTAATAATAATAGTATTACTATAACATTTACAATTATATTTATAATACCTATTATTATTATTATTATTATTTTATTATTATTATGGAAAGGCATTTTATTAGGATAAGAAAAGTTGAAGATTAAAAATGACAAGTAGGGAGCCTAGCAACTAATTGAGCTCCAACACCTTTCTGAATAGCTAATCCTATTCTAATAAAAAGAAAATTCTCAACTTTCAAGGTAGAATCATGTCTAGAAATATGACTCTTAATACGTTTAAGAAACAAAACAGCATCTGAAACAATCCCTCCCAAAGTAGTGAAACCTAAGGTGCCAAAACTATGACCATTAGCTTTACAAATCTCAATATACTTATGTTGCTTCCTTTCTATGGCCTTGGTAAGTGCTAGTCCGGGTTTGAAGTGTTCAAGGTCTACTTCTCCTGCAAAAGGGGAAACAACAGTGACATCCAAGCATGTATCAACACCCCTTTCCCAACCATATAGGAGAATATCAGCTGGCTTTGCACCTCCACCTTGCTGCGTAAGAAACCCAAGAGGAGCCTCCACTCTATGTGCAATTCCAGCTCGAAAGCACATGTCAGCTACTGTATCCCGAACAAGATTGTGCCTGAATTTAGGGCCTATCAAACTGGAGCAATGGAGAGCATGGTCCCCCCAAACATCCATACTACCAAGGCAACAGGAACAAGTAGCACCTCTGGAAAAAGATGAATACCTAACCTATAAGCAAGAATAGCAGTAAACTGTCTAGGACTAATAACTTGCCCTAAACCTTCAGCTGGAATGGCAATAAGGAAATCCAAAGCATGTTTCAGCTTATTACTCTCCCAAAGAGCAAGATCTCTGCTATTCATATTAAACTTGGAAGCCATATTCTTAATAACACAAGAAAAATACTATAAAGCCAAGGTTTTCATAGGGTTTGGGGCAATAACAGTATTCTCTTGGGTAGCAGAAAGGCCACAAGCCAGGTTGAAGGTGATCTGAGCTTGCTGCAAAGGTGGAAAACAATTAGAAGAAGAAGAATGACAAAGAATCTGGGCCTGTAACTCCTTGGTCTGCATGTGAGAAGCTAGATAACAATACAAAAGAGTGTCTTGCAAACAATAGATGCCCAAACCTCCATCATGAATTGGCAAGGTAGACAGTCTGTATTGTAAAGGACCAAACCTTGCACCTATACCTAGAACCAGATTATGCAAATACTGGTAGAGATGTTCATCAAATAGAGATTGAGCAGGCAGAATATATTCAGGGCAAGTGGTTCTCATGGTAAAATAGAGTTTAGAGACACCAACACAATTCCTTAAAAGGAGCTTTTATTATTATTATTATTATTATTATTATTATTATTATTATTATTATTATTATTATTATTATTATTATTATACGGAGTAGGGGTGGGATTTTGGAACCTGGAGCCTCAGAACCGGTTAGAACCAAACCGTTATAACACGGTTCGGTTCCTACAAATGAGATATTAGTTGGTAACGGTTCGGTTCTTAGATGTTGTTCTTATAAAAAATATGTGCATGGAACTGTTAAGAAATCGTTATTAAAAAAATAAAAGATATTTAACTAACAATTGTAATTCAATCGACAAAAACACAGTAATATATATTGTACATGAGGTTGATATAATACATTAAACTTATTTTTACAAATCAAGTTTTGTTCCATCACATAAATTTTATAAATATAAAATAACTCAAATAACTTGTAGTTGATTGCACATATTTTACTTTACTATTTTCATGATATTTCTAATTATTAGATTTATTATGAATCATGCTACTAGCAAGTAGAATGTAATAATGTTTTTTATATCTATACATGCGAACTCAATGTGTTTTTTATGTTTTGAAGGATTTGAAGTAGATGTCTTATTCTTGCTACTATGATGACAACTAACCTTCATTGCTCCCACACTATAACGATTTTTATGTTTTATTTATTCCATGAAAATTTAAATCATCTTTTGTTCTATTAAGTGTTCACAGTTCATTAGTTAAGTTTGAACTTTGATGTTTGAAGTGATTAGAGCTTCAAATAAAATTTTATACTCGTGTTTTGAATTTTCGACGTGTTTATGTTGTAGAAAGTAAATTATGTTTTAATTCTTAGATGAGAAAATTATTCTAGAAACCAGTAAAAGGAAGAACCAAATGTTTACTACCGGTTCAATTCCATAACAGTTCTTGATTTTTTATATAGAAACCGAGTCGATTTCATTAGTTAAAATTTTTATAACAGTTCCACTCATTTTGAATAATAACTGAACCGGTTCAAGCCAAAATACGGAGTATATATTAACGTTTGGTTTCCTAAAAACACGCAAAGTAAAGCAAAATATAGTAAACGGGAAAAAATGGATATTTGGAGAGGATTAATAACGTGTGCTTTGAAGGGACAATACAGTAATACACTTCTATATTTATCAAATGATGCTTGTGTGACATTTTTGTAACTGTTGTCAAGAAGTCAAAATACGCATGAAGTGCTTTTGAAAGAAACACTGTGTCATGTGTTTTTTAGGACACATTGACATGTGATTCTTTTTAAAAGTCCTTTTTGCAATGCATACAATACACACAAATATGCGTTGTGCGTGTGATTCTGTTTAGTAGAAGCACTTTGAAGTTTGAACAAGCATAATTATTCTAAACTTTTTTTTAACCAAAAAGAAAAACCCAAACAAAGCCCAAAGAGATCACTAGGACGTAAAAGAGTGAACAAGCTTTGTCAGTGAGAATGGAAAGAAAATATCCATCCAGACCAAAAGGCAAACATTTATGTAATTCCTATATAAAATGTGCGTATGAGTTATTACATAACCCAAGAAGTCTCACCATTCAATATAATAATATATCCTATCATTATGATACAATGTACGAACCAAGCAGAATAACAAAAACAAACGTGGCTGCTTGGGACGGACAATAATCAGTAATCATTAATCAATTTTCGACTAAATTCATATTATGTAACTCTGCTTTGCAGTTGCTTTCCGAGATCGTTTTCTACGGGGATTAGAACTGAGGATGCTGGAAAACGCACTAAGAAGCTCTGTATCCTCAATGGTAATTAACATCTTTGCCGCATTAGGATTGGCAACAAGGAGCTTTGCCACAAGATAACCAGCAATAGACCATGTTTGGAAGAGGCGTGCCTGCTTCCCGATGAAAGAACCCCGTTTCGTGTCATAATATTCAGGCCACTTGTCTCTACTTATGCGCTTCTCCACAATATTAATTGCATTTTCAGCAATCTCTGGCCTCTTCATTTTAATGCATGCCACTGTCAGCTGAAAAAAGGTATGAGCCCAATAAGAATTTGAAATATGCAATGGCAAAACTTGGATGCAGAATCTTCTATCTTTGCTTCTTAGCCTTATCTTCCAATTTTTTTTACCAAACATGAACTTATTTGGCTAAGTTAGCTGAATCAGTTTTTTCAAGTGCACAGGTCATCACCCTTTGAAATGAATGGTAATGACACTTCTATTTCATTTCTAGTTAGTTCTGGCAATTCAACCATAATTTCAAGAATTTCACTTCATTCAACAGCTTCGGCCAATTTCTTTCCTAACCTAACGGGCTCTAAAATGCAGTTATGTTATCCACCAAAAAAATACAACAGCACATTTGTGGGTAATTAACCCGTATTTGGTTAACTTCGGGGTACAAAACAAGCTGGCAACAAAGAGTTATAGGAGCAACATTTTACAGTTACCCATTTTTAGTCGCACAACTATTTTGACATTCACATGTTTGGTGTGGGATTTTCATTTTATCAACCCTTGGTGCACCAAAGCGGGTTCCTGATCACTCTTAGACCATCTGACCTACTTGTCTGGCCAATTCTTGCGCAAAGAGTTTGTCGTTGGGTAGGTGATCAGAAAGGATTAAAGGTGGCGAGAAATTCATAGTTGTGCACACAAAAAAAAGTCAAACATAAGTAGGAGGTCACCTAATATTTTATGGGACTAGATGTGTAAAACATTCTCCAGCAAAAACTAAGTGGTGAAAACTAACCTGCCAAAGCAAAGTTGGCCAAGAACCAGCATTGTGATAAGACCAAGGCCTGTGTCAAGTGGAAAAGTAAACATTAACAGCAACTACAGGACAATTTATATATTTTCCTACAAAGTAAGAATGTATAATTGATCATTGTTAAAGGTCATTATAATCACAATCAGTTATTGTTTGTATAAAGTTTGCTGAAAAGTGGTTAGAAAATGTCTACTCTCATTTAGATTCAGCAAAATATTAGCATTTAACAAAGTTAAGTAGTACAGTATAAGAGTAGCTCAAAGATAAAAACGTTGCAAAAATAATCATAAGCTACAAATTCCCAACTTCTTAAAACCAGCTAAAAACTTATGGAAGAATGTTCTCGAAAGAGCAGAATGTTCCCACACAAGACTATATTAAAAAAACTAAATTAAAAAAAGAATCTGAAATTGTAGGTTCTGAACAAAATCTAATTAGTAAAATAGAGCAATTAGAATAACATTACGTGTTCTTTGGATCGCCACCGGTTATGATACGCCACTCCTGACCTTCAAGAGCGGGATAACATATCTTGAGGGGCATATTTGCCACTAAATCATCCCACTTCGCTTCAATAAGATCCAATATGGCATGAGACTGATCCGTCGTGGCAAGACTGCTCACAATTGACCACAAATTCCCAAGAGAGAAAAAGCGGAAGTCCATGTGAGCTGGCTGCAAGTTGCCAATTAAATAGCCACCTGCACTTGGCATCCAGTCTACCAGCCAGTGAGGAATCTGGTCAGGATATATGTTGAACTTGTTGATCGCTTCATAAGAGTATTCTTCTGTTTTGTAACGGTAGATTTCATTTAGTTTTTTTACATCAATCCAGTAATATTCACGGATGTGAAATGAGAGTGCGAGAAGACGATTGTGAAGGGCGGTTAGAAGGTCGATGGAAGCTTCTTCAGGAGCAAGCATCTCCCTTGCACATAGTAGGGCTGAATAAAACAATGCCTGCCAATCACATCCCATATGTGAATGAAGAGATAGTCTTCAAGTTATTTTGAGGCGTTTTGGCCCAAGTATGATTAAACATGCTTAAAACACCAAACAAATATGATTACTTTTTAAAAAAACAAATAAAAAAACATTTCTAATATGTCACTGGCAGTGACACTGCGTCAAATGTCATTGTGACCAGCATTGGCAGTTTCTGTCAACTTTTTCTGGAAAATTTTCCGGCTGATGCAGTTGTTGACGGCTGGGTAGTAGATGAGAGAGAGAAGAAATTGGGATAGATTTTGGTTTAGAAACTATTAACACTTTTTTAGAAATATTTAAAATTAGTCATATTTTTGTCTATTGAAGTTCTATGTGTTATATTTTGGCCATTCTTTCATTTTTTGTCCTCTTTCTTCTTTTCTAAAAAGAGGCTTCAATTGGCACTTAACTGATTTACAGTTGTGAACTAGGTATAAAAGTCATTCCCTGCTGAAAAATTCTTTGTCGTCGTCATCCTCGTGTTGTGTTAGGCAACCATGAAAATTGTAGTGGGAACTAATTTTGTAAAACTATTTAATATTATAAATTCATGCAAAAACATTGTGATAAAATTCATACGTTCTTGAGGTATAGTATATGAAATGTATATGAAATTCCAAAACTGTCATCAAGAACAGCAGTCTAAAGAAGGAACCTGGAAAGGGAGGTAGCCTAGTAGGGGTGGCATTAGGCTTTGATTTGACCGGGCCAAACTGAACCCGAACCATATGCATTTGGTTTTAGTTTGGCAATGGTTTTTCCAAACAGAACATAATCAAACTTAACCCAATAAAAAAGTAAAACCTTAATAAAATAGTCATCATCATTACCCCTGTGCCGCAAAGGCTCCCACCTACAGTGGGGTAAAATAATAAAACCTCAATAAAATAATTCATTTTCATCATCATTTTCATTTACCCCAGTGCCGCAAAGGCTCCCGCCTACGGTGGGGTAAGGGGGGGTCTGATGTACGCAGTCTTACCCCTGTACTAAAGAACAGAGAGACTGTTTCCGGATGACCCATAGTGAAAATAGCGTCCAAAATTGCATGGACTGACTGCTGCTTCATAACAAAGAAGCGCAGACAGTTTAGTAAGCCATTTTGCTTTATTCCATCATATTCTCAAGCCAAAAAAATAATGAATCTTTAGCTCCATTGCAAATGATGGAAAACCTCAATAAAATAATAAACCAACAAATTCAAACCGGACCCGAACTGGATTAAATCAAGCAAATCTAGTTTAGTTGTAATTTAATAATAATCATTTCAAACTAAACTGAAATGAAACCCAAAAAAACAGTTGAACCTGAAATGCCAACCACCCTCAAGTTGATAAGAGAAGATTAATATACGTAGAAAATTGTACAAAAAAATTTATACATGCAGGCCCCGGATTTTTCTATGGAGAGTTCGGCCTAAGTGGCACCATTTGATTTGCACTGAACTTATGGGACTCACACTTGAATGTTTCCAAATGTGGGCCTCATCAATTCAATGCAAATCAAATAGTGTAATCTAGACCGTAAAGTCTAATTTTAATATATTTTTGTTATATAGTGTATAGATAAATACACTTTAACTGGTTCAGCCTTATACTATCTCAATTCATGTTATCCAACCCCAAACTCTACTGTAACTAAGGCTTGGATGTTGTTGTTCAGTGTATAGATATAAAAGTATATTGTGCCCCCCTTGAAAATGACATTTTAAATACAGCATTGCACATCATGGAACTTGACTGACCTGTGGCAAATTCTATTCTGAATAAAATGTTCTTGCTTTTTATATCATTAAGAACTAAAGAAGTTACTAACATCTTATGTTTATAGGGAGTTAGTTTGACTGGAGAGAAAAACCTGAATTTCAAGAGGGTGGCCATGAATGCCCATGCGGCGATCAATCATGCAGGAGCCGTCAGTCACCAATAAAGTAGGGAACATATCAAAACCATCAGCAAGACATAGCTTTAATACCATTTTCATTCCCGTTTGAACATCCACCCTCTCTACTAGAGATAGGTCTCCCGAACATTTCCCATATGCCCGCAGTAATATAATCCACCATAATCCTGGAACACCGCAAAAGTTCATTAAAGAAAGACAAATATGAAGAGAATATTCTTTTTTAGAGAAGAGTAAAAGACATACCAGAATCAACAGGTGCAACACGGCCAATCGCTGCTTCACCAAAGTCAGGATCCAAAACATCTTCAGTTCCACCCTCATCATTTTCCAATGGAACAGTACGCACTTTGAAGCTTGCAGGCATTAGTCCTTGTCCAGGACTATAGCAATCCATTGTTTTCTCCCAACTCTGTTTGCATGAAAAAAGTGAATAGTGAGATTATTTAACAAGATGATGAAGTACATGATATCTAGCTGAATGAATTCAGAATGGAATGTAATGTACCAAACTACCAATGAACTTGGTGCTTTAGATTATAATTTGTCCGACCTTACTTTTGAGCTGATCTACAAGAAATATAAACTGGGTAAACACAAAGGGTCTGTTTGGATGGAGAAGAAGGTTTTGGAAAGGCTTGTCCACTTCTTGAAATGTTAATTTAATGATTTAATCTTACAATTTTGTATAAATCTCAAGTATAAGCCCATCCAAAGTCTTCTCCTCCATCCAAACAGATATGAACAAGAAGACTTTAGATGACTAAGTCATCTAGATATGCATACATATGTATTTCCAGATAAATACTAAGTCCTCCAAAGACACCGCTTCCAAAACCGTCCATCCAAATCAACTCTAACAGTAGGGTAAGGATTTCCCCTTGTATATGTAGCTCCGAACTGGGGCTTTTTCAAAAACCAACTTTTCCTAACATCCAAAAGAAAACTTCCCGGTCTTCACTTGTTAGAAGTTTGTTAGAGGTTTCTTTCACAATACTGAAAATCTATATATCATCCTTCAATATCCAAGATTAATAAAATAGGGCATACCCAACCCTTCAAGAAGCCAGAAAACCCTAAAGAAAATATCAAGTGCAAAAATGTGCGCAAACAATGGTGGCTACTATTTGCATGCAGCACAATGATTATAGTAACTTCCATATTCAGAAAAATGTGCAGGTTTTAACAACTTACCTCTTCATTAAACATACTATCAGATAGTCTGTCATATTAACAAATGTTAACTGTCATATAAATAAAAGCATAGATGTATTATACTCTAATAAAAGACACATTGGAATAATGCATTAACAGGAAAATTGGTTGAACCAGTCAACCAATTGAATTCAATCTTTTAGGTGGTTTGGCCCAAGTGTCTTATTCTCAATTGAGTGACCCAACCAGCCTCAATTCATTTTTTATAACAACCAACCTCAATTCTATTACCAGGTTTCATGTTGCCATACATTATCCCATACTAAACATAAACAGATAAAGTGATAAACCATAACAAAATAGAAGTGAAGCCTTAACCACAAATAGCTGTTAAGTAAAAGTTATCTCACCTGTAATTGAAGAGTATGAAGGAGGAAGTTCCGTACAATATCATACTCCCCTTTCAACAGGAAAGCAATCCCAGAGGGTATGAAGTCACGGATGAACACTTGGTCATAGTTGAGACAACTAGAATCATTGGGATCATTTGCAGCAATTGTTCCGACAGGATTACCACAATAATACACCATTGATTCTTGCAACAACTTCCATGCCTCATCCTCTATTGAGTTTGACAACCCTTTACTGGATGGTAAAGCTCCATTGCCACTCTTCAATTGCTGAGTAGCAGCAGTATGCATTTTTCTTCCCTTTTCATCCTCAAAAACTTTTTCAATTACCCTTTCGGCTGGTAAGCAATTGCAATGTAATGATTTCAGTTTCCCCGCTTTACACAAGCCGGGGAAACCATGAATTGCCTGTGTGGAGAAACTTGTGGACGTTCTTGAATTCCCTGAGTATCTATATCTCGAATTCCTTCCTTTGAATAAAGGAAATGAACACGAAGTCACAGCGGATGAACATCTATAGAAAGAACGGCAAGACATATCCCCTGAGAGGACTTGCAGACCCATTGAGGTCAAGGATCTGAAAATGGGTATACATTTAGTTCTATCTGAATCATAACAAACACTTGACCTAATTGTTAGCCTACTTAAATTACTCCACATTCCAGAACCAGGAAAAAATATTATTCCCTCAAAACAATCTATAAATAAAGTTAGTGGTAATTAAAAAACACCAGCTTTGAAGGGGAAGCACAGCATGATAATAAGCAAAAGAAAACTCCTCAATTAAATAAATGGGAAGTAAATTGAGAACTAGATAAAAATAAAGATCCAATCTTTGAACCTTTTCATGCTGAAAAGGATGCAAGTCAGTTAGAACAGTAGAAAATGTCTCGACGACATCGAGAGACAAATTATAATTGCTAACCCAAATAAGAGTGCGTATGATGGGAAGGAGAAATCTTGAACAGCAAAGTTGGAGTTGGTTCGGAATTCATGTGAATCAATTTGATGGGAAAAAGAGTAAAGAACAAAAAGATGTTTTTGCTTACACGGATGAGAAGAAGTATGGTATGGAGTATGGGCGGTAGGGTGAGTGACAGACAGGTCAAAGGTTTTGCGTATATGGCTTGGGAAGATTGGTTGGCAGTTCAGAAGAGGTCCTTGTAAGTTGCATACGACGTCGTCCAGGAGTCTATTTGTGTTGCAAAACATTGCAAATCTGAATTAGTTTGAAAATAGGAATTTTATCAAATGTAGGACTTTGAAAGATAGGTTAACTATCAAAAAGTAATCTCAAAGATCAAATGCGTCGATAGAGAATTTGAATGATCAAAAACTATCGAACTTAGACCTAAAATATCATAATTTTTAATAATTTTATTTTATAAGTTTTTAATACGTAGAATTATTTAATCTTATTAAACTAATAAACTTTTGTGGAAAAACTTTTCAAAAACGAGCAGTGGATCAATAAAAAAATAAATCTAAAGAGAAGATAGAGAGAAATGAACAAGCAAGAGGGATAGAATGTGTAGTATGAATATATGAATCAAAGTTAGGTTACAACATGAAGGCCACATGGGCTTGCGAAATGCCATGGGTGATGCGCCGATATAAGGAATAGAGGGTTAAGTCTAATAAACATAAATCAAATATAAATAGGATCCATGTGCATATAGATTACACCGTGGGCCGGTATGTGAAACAGGTTAGGCTCAATACCAAACAAATGGCGGCTATCGCCCTTGATGTATGATATAGTATATATCCATCATGAGTCGTCAGTTTATGAGGTGAGAGTAGTCAAGGTGAAAGGGATTACTCCTCAAATGTGTCAGCTGCTCTTTTCCTAGACCGGAAGATCTCCACCCTCGTCCATGTCATGCCTTATTAAAAACCTTCATTGGGAACAAATCCCAATGGGGAAAAATCATAATGAAGGGACAAAAGAGTACACTTGCAACGGGTAAACTCCTCGGCCTTTATTGCAACTAGGGGTGCAAATGAGCCGAGCCGCTCGTGAGCCGCTCGCGAGCCGCTCGGTCAAAGCTCGAATCGGGATCGGTCAAATTCGAGCTCGAGCCGAGCTCGAGCCGGCTCGTTAAGCAGTCGAGCCCGAGCTCGAGCCTTCTAATTTCAGGCTCGCTGGCTCGCGAGCCGGCTCGCGAGCCTAATTTTATATGTGAATATTTATAATATATATATATATATATATATATATATATATATATATATATATATTATAATCATATATAATATATTACTATGCAATATAAATTAATATATAATGTATACTGTTATAATGTACGGAGTAATATATATGATATACTCCCTCCGTCCCCTTTTAAATGTCTCGGAAGAGTATGACACGAGTTTTAAGAAAAGTGGGTTTGTGTGATTGATATTAATTGATAAAGTAAGAATAAAGTAAAAATAATTTTGAACCACACAAACTTTACCAAATAAGGTATGAGACAATTAAATAGGGACATCCCAATATGGTAAAACGGGACATTTAAAAGGGGACGGAGGGAGTATATAATATATGCTGATTAGTAAAATTTTATAATATTTTAGGCTTAGGTCGTTACTACTCAGTAGAAAAACTTAGAATGGGCCGATGACAGTGAATTTTTACTACGGACTCATTATGGAGCATCATAATGGTTATCGAGCCTCGAGCCGAGCCGAGTCGAACCGAGCCTTCTGCGAGTCGAGTTCGAGCCGCAATTTTGTAGGCTCGTTCGAGCCGAGCCCGAGCTCGAGCCGATGCTATATATTTCGAGCTCGAGCTCGAGCCTGTAGAAAATCGGGCTCGGCTCGGCTCGTTTGCACCCCTAATTGCAACGGTCGTCATCCGTGATTAGAATGGCTAAGACCGGTCTTCTCTAACGCCTAGTGTGACTAGTATGCTTGTCTAGCTCAGCCTCAGCTCGATGATGTCAGGCTTGGCCTCGAGTGTAGCGAGCTCAACATCATTAATGTCAAGCTTGGCCTCAAGTGTAGCGGGCCCGGCCTTGGTAATCTTTTGTGCTAGCTCATCCCTTGTTTCCTCGGACATCACCCTTGTTCCTCACTCCTTGAGGTGAGTGGAGACGAGATGAAAAGGAGTAAGATAGTCATTATAGGTTGTACCTCGCACTGGGCCTTGGCCATGTCGAGCTCGAGCTCCGCCAATTGTCTTAGCACAATATTAAGTCCTCATCATTAAATAAAGATGATAGATAGATAGACAAAATCAAACAAAATATGAAAATCAGATCATCAAATAAAGATGACTCGAAGATGGGCCGAGCTAATCAAACAAAATAAAGAGATACAACCAATATGATCAAACAATCAATGCTAAATAATAGAAGTCACCAAATGGAGATGATCGAGAGATGGACCGTAATCGTCCATAATAAAGGGACCGGGCCATCAAATAAAGATAACTAGGAAGCGCCTAAGTCCATCGTTCATAATAAATGGACGAGGAGGTCTTTAATTATGAAGCAAGTCATTAAATAAAGATGACCGGAGAATGACCGAGTCCGATTCCGGTACCAGTTTCGGTTCCACACCAGCTATTTTTGTTTGCTTGGAAATGGGGGGAAATGAAAAAATAGAATGGCACCATGTTCGGACCAGACCCAGACCGATTAACAGTTTTGAACAAGTTTCTTCGTTGATGTAATCAACTGGGCGCAGTCCATTATCTCCCTTCCAAAGCAAACAAATTCATCTTCTTAAGATTTAGACCGTTCTTCTTGAGAGAATTCCCTAAATAGGAGTAAAAACGTTTTGAAATTCCAAAATAAGAGTATCATGTTTTTTATTCCTTGAATAGGAGTAATCTGCCAAGTTTGGAAGAAAATGCCATGTTTAAAAGCCTTGTAATGTCAAACTTGGCATAAATTTACTCCTATTCAGGGAATAAAAAACATGATACTCCTATTTTGGAATTTCAAAACGTTTTTACTCCTATTAAGATCAATTTCTGTTCTTCATTTGGCATTTCTAAGCTACGCATCTTATTTTTTCCATTTGCTATTTGTCCTGCTACAGTGCTATGGCTTACATAGATGTATTAGCTTATTTGCAGCATTTATGTATACACAATTTTGTTAGGCTTAGGTCCCTAACAATAATTTATGATGCTTAACAAATACGATAGTAAATTGTAAGAATGTCCTAAACTCATAATAGTTGTAGGATCATGAATGTAATTAATTGATTCATTCTTCAAGAAGCAAGTTTTTTTAATGGCTTCTGGTTTGTCCGTTTGTGTGATTAGAAATTGTTTTTAAATAGTCAATTTGTGAGAAATATGAAGGTAAAGTTTGGAACCCGTTTTTATATAAACACTCACTGAATCAAATGGTTCGACCGAGGGCGAGAAATCTGACCAATTCTTAAAGCCCGAATCTGGTCTTGTTGAACGGATTGATTGAAAAAACCGAGCTAAGAGTGTTTTTCGCTTTCTTTTTTACTACAAAGTTTATTTCTAAGAACATTAAGGTATTAGAATGAAAATTTCATGTTTTTTGTTTTAGATATTGAACTTTAAAATCTACGCAGCATCACAAGATTCACAACATACAATAATGAAATACCAAAACGATCAATACAATAACCACAATGATAGTTGAGCTATACATAATGACCAAAAACAATCCACATTCAGTTTTACATCAACAAAAGGATGTCAAGAGTACATTAGAATTGGATATGACTTGTGATTTGCTCCCGAGGAAAAAGTACATGGATCTACCATGCACTGAAACTGCTAAACAATAGGGGGATAAGGCGAAAGATCTTTCTCAAACTATGAATAATCAGCAAATCCTGGAAAGTGACACCTAGGAAGTAAGATGCAGGAAGCTCATGCATCATCCATGGAGTGATCGTTGTCATTGTCACCTTCATAATATTCATCATCTCGCTGGATTTGCTTGTCTCGTGTATGCTCTGTGTAATATGTGGGAGACAAAAGGAAATTAATAAATTTAAATGTAAACATCAATTTTTGCAACAACTGCAGTTGAGATATGTCACCTTAATTTCAAGTTTCAACTATACTGGGAATGTTGTATGAAATTTATAATGTTAATTCATCATCATCATCATCATTACCCCAGTGCTGTAAAGGCTCCCACCTATGGTGGGGTAAGGGGGGTTGGATGTACGCAGCCTTACCCCCTGTACTAAAGCACAGAGAGACTGTTTCCGGATGACCCAAGGTAAAAATCGCGTCGAAAATTGCATGGATTGATTGTTGCTTCATAACAAAATTAGGCAACTATAAATGAAATATGTGCATTTTCAACTTTTCACTTACGATGCAAGCGTTCATCAGGATTTTGCTCATCTTCATCAAAATCCGGTATATAAAAGTCTGGAGGTACCTGCAAAACAAGAAAAAGATAAGCAATAAAGAAGTCAACTCAGGTTTTGGTGGTCTTAGGATCAAAGATGAGGTGCAAGAATCCAACTTAAACCAAGGGTTATCGCCTTGTGGGATTAAAATAAGCACAACATATTGTTTTATTAATTATCATTATTTTTATTGTAGCAGTTATTTAGAGGCAACAAACAAAACTTGCCTCCTGCAGCTGCACGCTAGGAGCATGCTGGATGCTACGAAGATTTTCCAATACATGTGTTTTTATGGTGCCAAGATATGATTTGCTGTTCATGTTCTCCTGTTCCAAAAAAAAAGATTGTAATATCAAAGGTAGTTCTTATACTCTCTCCGTTCTTTCTTAACTGACCCCTTGGGTTTTTTGTGATTTATAAGCAGAAAATAATAGGGGTAGTATAGAGGGTGTAGGGTAAATGAAAATGTAGGAAAGAGAATATATTAGGTAGAGGAAAGTAATGAAAAAGTAGAAAAGAGAAAGTAGTTTGTAAAAGGGTAAGAGTAATAAAGTTAAGGTATAAAGGTATTTTGATTGAAAAACTTACTAAAAAGAAAAGGACAAATAATAAAAAAAACATCCCAAAAAGGAATACGAGACAATTCATAAAGAAGTGAGGGAGTATAAAATATGCAAGGATAGTTCTGATATAAAAAACACACATTTAAAAACGATTTTCATTCTTAATATTACTGTAAAACTAGAATAGAAAACTCAACATACCAGGTGCCCACCAGGAATCTTCAATGAATAATCAGGGCCAAAATATTTGATGTAGTCATTATCTGGTATATCTGTGGGGGGGAAGATATATGATGCTTATTTATTGATGCATAGATGTTGAGTACCAAGTACTAAAAATACATTTGCTGGTCAACTCAAAATTAACCCAACAATGCAAGTACCTTATCAGGATGTAATCACATACCCCAGTTAATTAAATGGAAAACAAAATTTGAAATAACAAAACACACATAATATCCCACCCAATTATAATGTTTAAAAAGTCAGTCGCTTCTTGAAAATGGTTGTTGTGCATCTACCTTACGACTAGTACAAATGTACAATAGTCCTAGTTGAACCAAACAACAACATCCAAGCCTTATTGCCAAAAGATTTTGGGGACCTCGATGAACCAAACAATTAAACAAAATAAAAAGACAACATAGTTACTAGTGAACATACCATTAGGAAGCTCTGTATCTAGAAGAACCCCGGTTTCGTAAGTCCAACATCTAGCCACATTTTCTTTTGTGTACCCCCCTCCACCAGTTACCTGTGAAATGGGTGCCCCTCATTGTTAATCAATCACAGTATCACACAGTTCCACATTAAGCACACCTTGTGACTGGGAAAAAAACTACCAGCAGGGGTACATTAAATTTCTTCACAAACCGAACACATTCAGCATGCCCTGCAAGAAGAAGCATCGGATAATTATACACCACATAAAAACAGCCTATAAAGACATAATAGTACACAAAATTGTAATTACAAGCAGAGTAACACCATCAATGGAGAGGTTAAAGCAGCCCAAGCGGTCACCAGCTAGGGAGTCTGCCCCACATTGCAGAACAATTGCTCCAGGTAAATATGTCTCAACCACCTTTGAAATGACCTACAAATGCCAAACCCAAAGAAAGAATCTAAGAAGGAACAACCATTAAAAAATATATAAAAAATGAAGATGTTTGTGTTTCATGGCACAATCTTACTGTTCTAAAGAGACGAGTGAAGCTGGAATCATCTATCCCGTCTTTGAACGGCACATTTATTGCATAAAATTTCCCATCTCTTTCTCCTACATCCTTCAAAATTAAACTATCACTTTATCACTACGCCAACAGTTCAGGCCTTGGGAGACACTACAAATAATATTAGTTTCATGTTTAAAGTGTGCAGAAATAATTATACAGGTAATTTGCACACTTTTTCACTATGTTGGATTAGGGTAAAAAAGGATTGGGATGGAGAAGAAAAATAAAAGACAATTCATGCATTAAATTAAAATCTAAGAATAAGAATTCGCAAGCATGGATAAAATGAAAGTATGAAACAGAACTCTTTTTAAAATTGTACTGATGTTTTTTTAGTAATCATCTCCAAAAAATAATGAAACAATAGCCAAGCAAGGAGTATCAACTAGCAATTCCTTAACAAGGTAGCCCACCTTAAATATCTTCGGCCAACAAAATACACTCACGTTAACTTTAAAGTAGGTGGAGCAAGATCCTAAAATGCACTAGCACCCTGGTAATCACTCTATCTTCATATAATGCATTACTTTTGTCAAATAGATAAAGGGCAGCCAGGTGCACATTGGCATCCCCACAAGGAGAGGGTCTAACAATGGTTCCCACCACAAGGGTGTATAAAGAGCAAGCTTTCCCTTGTCATTTTGACAAGAGGCTGCTCCCAAGACTTGAACCTGTGACCTCTCAGTCACACACCAACACTGTAACCAATGCCCCAAGGCTCCCCTTCACTTTTGTCAAATGGAGAATAGCGAAAATTCACAAATAAAAAATAAGAACAAGAATGCAGCAAGGAAGTGAACCTTCATTTCACCAGTTCCAGGAAAGAACTTATCCCCGTACTTGTGGAAACTGACTGTCATTACCCTAAAAAGTTGCAATTTAGACTTTTATCATCAATTCGAATCTCACAAAACAGGATATGTAGCATGTGATTTCCCATATACTTGACACTCTTTGGAGGCAAAATACTAAATATATTATGTAAAGTTCAATTAATATAGTTATAACTTTTAATATGTGCTATACTTTTCTTTTGATCTTAGATCTTTTTCTAAGAACTCGAGAATAAAATGTATCTATCTTTTACTAAATAAGCTATGAAAACTATTAGATGGTAATTTAATGGCATAGATGATGAGTGCATGAACCAGATAAGAGGAAAGTATTTTCTCTACTGAGTAGGAGAAGTCCAAAGTAAATGGTCCACTATGACCATTGTATTCCCAACTACCCATCCAGATAAAGAAATTGGATCAACTACAAAAACAGATAAATGAAGTATAAAATAGAAAGTTGATGCTTTTGCTACCATGAAAAATGTTAACAGGCTGTGGCAAGGATACATGAACTCCTTATCAATAGTTGGCCCAAATACATGGAAGAACCAACCAATTACGATAACTTCTAGTCACTTGCTACGCCTATACCATTTGCAAGCTTCAAAGTGAAACTTATTGAGCATAAAGTAGGGTTAAATTAATGACAATTGAATTTGGCATAACATTTATTCCCCCCTCTCCCAAAAGAGAATCATTTCGAAAACAAATTTTTTATCCCGCAAAAAGTCATATTAGAAGCAAAGAAGCAGCTTTTTAGTACATTTAGTGTATTTGATCAAAGGTGTCTCGAACTGGTTAAAAATATAGCTAGGACTGATCTATTCTAATAGTTGGACCTTACTAAAGTTATAAAGTTGTATCCAGTGAAAGGAGAATCTTTTTTGAGGGGGCAGGACCACTAAACCAATTATGGACTACATAGAACTACAAATCCTACCAGTCTTGGCAATCTATGAGAAACAAATTAGGAAATGAGTGAAGATTGAAGCGAGAAAATTTACCTATCTGTAAAATAAAAAGCCTCTTCTACGCCATCTCCATGATGAACATCGATATCGATATACAAAACTCGTGGATGATACTTAAGAAGCTCCAGAATTCCAAGAACTAAGTCATTGATATAGCAAAATCCTGAGGCCTGACATTTCTTAGCATGGTGCAAACCACCCGCCCAATTTATAGCTATGTCACATAGTTGATTGTTTAATCTACGTGCTGCATCTGCCAATTTGTGCTGATAAAGAGTCAGAAATGGCATGGTGGCTTGATTTGAATTAGGAATCTATCAGGATTAGTTTACCTATTGTCCCGCCCGCATAAATTTGACAAAACTCAAACAGGTTATCAAATACAGGACAATCCTCTCCGAGATTATCTGGTAAGAAGAAAAATAGGATTTGGTTAGAACACACAGGGTTACTGAAAGTGAAAACAATCCGATGAATAGAAGGTTAGAATTAGAAGACCACTCATTGTTGCACAACTAATGACTCATACATCCTTCTTTGTCCATGAATTAAGAAAGTAAGGGTCTGTTTAGATGGAGGGTTTGGGAGGAAAGAAATGAGGTTAGTGAGTTAGTCTGTATGTTGATAAATAGAATGTTTCTGAAAACAAACAAAAGGTGAATGTAGTATAACATCATCACATATTTTGGTAAATTTTGGTTTTTATAAAATATCAAATAGCTATCTTTATGTAGACTAACCCTCCAAATCTTGTCCCTCTAAACCATTCCAAACCTGTTAATGCAAAGATACCTTAAGAGTATGTTTGGAAGAATTGGGCGTTTTTTTTTTGGGGGGGGGGGTATTCTTTTCTTTACTTTAAAATAAAAGGCATAAAATGAAAAATTAGTATAGTTACAATGTCCTAATCAATTATTACCATAAATCATATACAGTTCTCTTAATTTAAAAATAAAAAAAGACCCCTCACCTCCCTTCCCCTATAAAATAATCCAATGTCTAACTCACAAACGTACTCTAAGACACCCCACCTACACCTCTCTTTCTCACTTACATACTCTGCAATACTTTGCTATTATGCAGGTGTATTTCAGAAAAAACAGAAATCACTAGCATATGTTTAGGGGCAAATAGCAGTAATAACAGAAAATAAGCAGGTAAAATTACATCTTTTCAGTTCAGTCCCAAATAGATTCTGAGTTTCAGGCGTTATCCTGTGCAGAAACTCAACGTACTCAGCTGTATGAAATTGAGCCAGCTCCATTGGATATGCCTTGTGAGGCCTCTACTCCAATCAAAACATACACATACAAAATATATAACGAGAAAAAATAGAACTAGCAAGACAGCAGCATAACTGTTACCCGGAAAAAGAGAGCTGGAAGCGGAAACAAAGAAAATTAAATACGAACATATATTTCCATCTTATTGTGAAGACCATAAGCTAGAACCAGATGATGGGTCATACACAGCCGGTGAGGCTTCATCGGATGGTTAGGCCCGAAGTAGACATTCCCGACGTCCCCTGCAGCTCTCACCGAATCAAAAGTTAGTACAAACACGGACCAATTTACATCAATCTATACCACACACGCCTGTTCTAGAGCAAGGGTTTTAGGAACTAAAGGGTCCGGAGATTGAAGACGCGAGTATAGGAATTTGGAGAACATGGGAACTCACCATCGTAGAAGTACGAGATCCTGTCCTTGGAGCGCATTTTAGCACAGAACAGGAGTGGAGGGAAAATCAGCGAGTTTTGTAATTTGCCTTTCGTCCGAATTGCCGCTTGAGTTTATCATTTCCCGTTGGCATACTTTGTTTTGGACCCCGATCCGGAATTGCCTATCGTTTTTTTTCTGGGAAAAACCATTGTACGTTTTACAATGTCCTACTCAATTATTACCATAATTCATATACAGTTCTCTTAATTTAAAAATAAAAAATAACCCCTCACCACTCTTCCCCTAAAAAGTAATGATGTATAATCAATACACAGAGTAATGATCCGGTCAGGAGCTCCTGACCGGAACCGCCGTCCGGACCTAGGCGTTTGGCCGCCTTCCCGGTGGCTTTTTTTGATGAAATTTTTATGGCATGTTCTCCATCAAGTCTAGTTTATCCACAAAAAAATTCAGCCAAAAACTCAATCGGGAAGGTCGTCAAATGATTTTTGCAAGTTAACTGGTCTGGAAAATACATATTCCGGACCAGTTAACTTGCAAAAATCATTTGACGACCTTCCCGATTGAGTTTTTAGCTGAATTTTTTTGTGGATAAACTAGACTTGATGGAGAACATGCCATAAAAATTTCATCAAAATATTCCACCGGGAAGGCGGCCAAACGCCGCGGTCCGTACGGCGGTTCCTGTCCGGACGTCCGGACAGGAATATTTGTCTCAATACACATCTATCTATATCTATATATATATTAAACCACTTAAGTGGAGTTCTCGCTCACGCGCAGGGGCATTCCCGTAACTGCGCTCAATTTCTATTAATCATCGCTAGAATACATGGACTCTTGGAGCTTGGTCTCTTTCTTCTTACCTTGCTTACGCTTCTTCTCTTCTTTATCGCTTCTTTTACTCGATTGCTTCTTCGTGCGGAGAAGATTTACTTCGGAAAATTCTCACTCTTCTTCGTTGAATGCTTCCTTTTCTAATTCCTTTCATTATTCCAACAGGTCTTCCATTCATTCAGGTATGATTATTGATTAAAATACTTTTATTCTCAAAACCTGAAACATTTTTCGGTCCTTATTTCTTCTCTAAAACTATTTGACCTAATTAACTTAATTAGAAACCTAATTAATACAACTCTAATTTGTTCATTATAGTATTCTAAACATACAAATTTAAGTTCTCTCTATTAGATTCATAAACTAGCTACTAATGTGACCATTTAAGCTTTAAAAAAATTGCTGCTATAACATGAATAGGCACCATATATAATAGATACAAAGAGTATTCACATGTTGTATTAAGCTTTAGTATTCTTCGTGTAATATCTTCAGTAGCTTTAGATATTTACATGAATAGGCACATACTGTAGAGTATAACATGATTAGTAGAGTACTAATCAATGGTATAGTTCATTAGAGCCTTTTTAATCAACCTTATAGCTTTTATAGTTAATCAGATGTTTTGGTGATAGTATATACCATCGACCCAACTATTTTTTTTCCTCAACTATTGTGCCATGCCAATGGCTTTAGCCATGTCAATGTGAAAACAAATTTATAGTAAAACCAGTCTCTCTTTGCTTCGCACACTGCTTATGAGGTGTTAACAAGTACACAAAAGCTAGAAAATATATGAAAAACAGCAGTAATAGAGTTCAGAAGAGCAGACCCTTTTGCTTTGCCTACTGCTCCACGCCTCCACCTCCCTTTTAACAACATAATTAAAGCCACCATTTTTATAAATAGAACACTTATATGCTGAGATCTCCTCATCTCATGTGATTGATCAACACTTAGCTTGGCTTGGATATTATAAGTAATAACTCTTTTTTTCCAAAGACCAACTTTTTATTTCCTCTTTTTCAGCACTCAAATGCCACCTTTTCTGTCCCCAAAGCTTGCCAAATATAAAAACCCTCTCTGTTCACTTTGTTGTCAGCAACTCATTAGCTTTCCTTTCTTTTTTCCCATATGATCATATCCATCTATTATAACCAATGAAGGGTTACAGATTGACTACTCCAACTCCCAAGAAAATTCATTTTCTGTTTTGGTATTAGTTCTGCATTTTTCTGTCTGATTGTTTGTCCATAGAGAGTTCATTAGTAATATTTTCACAAACCAGATAACTAATACATCCAATTTTCTTATAAGCTTTCATGGGTAAAGACAGTTGACCAATTCATTTACAAATACATCCACTATTTTAAATGACTGATTTATTTAATGCCGGTGACAGTCCATTGCTTTCTTAATACCAACCATATGTTAGTGGCATCGCTGAGCTTTGTGTGAAAAATTGGTAAGTGTGAATGTTTAGTAGAAACGCAGAATGGCTAGGATATGCATGCCAACTGTGGTTACTGAGTAACTTCTTTTTTACCCTTTTTATTTTAGTTATTCAATAGTAGTATACTCTAAATCCTAACTGAAAATACTAAATCCATTTGGACATGAAGAGGTTCAGCCATGAGCAGGGGATGGAAATGGATGGGCAATGAGCAGACCTCTTTATACAGTAGAAAGAATGACATTCCTTGCCCATGGATTTCGATTTAATTTAGGAGGGTAGAAAAGCACATATTTTAAGATCATGGATTCCTTGCCCATGGATTTCCATTGAATCTTTGAGTAGCCTTGATGTATTTTAAGACCCTCAACCCATAAACCTCTGTAAACTATAGGTTTCCTTAATCATTTATTCATTTATTATTGTTTGATTTCTTTGTATCAGCGCTCTGTTGTTTTTATTTCAAATTTGTTAATTATTATTTTTTAATATTGTCCATAGTTTTGACAATTTCGACATTTAATTCTTATTAGACATTATAAGGCTGCTATGGGACCTGCATATGTTTAGCTCCATTCTTTAGTAGTCCAATGATGAATTGTAGTCGTCTCGAATAAAGTCTTTTCAGGTTGTTCTCTATTGGGATCTCAACTTCTTTTTTGTGTAAAAAAGTTTTAATAGTACAATTTTTTGGACATTTAGAGCATTTGATATGATTTTGTCAATTTTTTATTAGTATAGTTTTTATTTGAGGCTTCCATTGCATTCCTCCTCGGGTTAAGCATATGAATTCAGATGGTTGAGTTTGCACACATTTTTTATGAGTTCTTTTAATTTCTCCTATGGCTCCGATTTTCAACTCATACATGGTAAGAAAGAACAGAATTCACTTCTTATTTTTCTCTTTTCTTCTTGTGATATGTTTTTCCCTTTATTTTTCTCTATTCATGGGTTAATCGTCGTGGGACAATGGTGGCAAAGAAGAGTGTTGGAATATAATTCCAGTACGAAAGCTTAATCTTATTCATTGATCGCAGGAAAATGTAATATGAGTATTGTTAGTTGGGAAAGGCCCCCCTAAATTGAATTACAACATGCATTTTATAGGCGTATACAAATCATAACCGCTACTGATATTAATGACTAATTAATTACAACATTAATACGGAATTAAATACATAATTAAACAGCACATTAATTGTTTGACCGTTACTTTTCCTGGCTGACAGGTCGGCCGGACTGGCAGGCTCCCCGTTGGGGTGGTAGGCAGGCTCTAGGTTGTGGATCTGGATCCACGTGTCCAAGTTCGGGGATTGGGCCGATTAGGCTCTGGGCCTAGTCCCATAACTCCATCACGAGTCCTCCACTCCCTTAGTCGGGTAGTAGACTCGGCTAAGAGGGAGTAGTCCAAGTTAGCTGCCCTTCTCAGAGACTGGAAGATCTCTGCCCTTATCCATGTTGGGGAGATGACTCATTAAAAACTTTCATTAGGAAAAAACCCAATGGGAAAAAATCCTAATAAAGGGAAAAAGAGTACACCTGATGCCCCCAAGATGAATTGAAGCAAAGGGGGAAATCTTCAGCCTTTATTGTAATGGCCACCATTAGCGAAGAGGATGGCTAGAACCGTTCTTCTCAACGGGCTCAGACTCATCAGGCTCGTCTTCGTTCAGTCGTACCTACACATAAAAGAAACAAGTGTAGAATAGAGCATCTGACCCGGTGCTGAATCACGGCTCAGTGAGTAAGTGAGTCAGACTCACCACTCGAAAAGAGTGACATCAAGTTCCCAAGTTAGGCCTCAACCCAGTCTCCGAAAGGAAGATTGAATCCGCGAGTAAGTGACTCGAAGTCACCATTCGAACGGATAATCCAACCCCACAGAACTAAAGTATATCAACCTTTTCGGGAAATGTGAATATCAATTAAGTGAAAAAATTGCTCGAAAGAGCGTGGCTCTAGGCCCCTAACAAGAGTTTAACTCGCTGCCTGAGGTTAGTAGTTCGAACCCGCAAGTAAAAACTTTTGAACGGGTGACTCGTCCCTCGAGGCCGGAGTGTGCTGCACTAGGAAGAGGTAAGAGCACACAAGAACTCATATGAAGTCAAGAGTGTGCGTTATTAACATTTATATTGGAGCTTATTAATCGTCGCACCCATATGACGTGACCCGGTGGCGCGAGTGTGCGTGCTCGACCAGTTTACGAGTGTGTGTGCTCGTCCGGCGTACATGAGTGATCAAATTTCATAAGTCCGTTTTTCGATGTTAAAATTACACACATTTGAAAAGAGTAAAAGCAATTATACCACTTAATTTATCTTTTCAAGTGTTTCAGCTTATGACTTTTTTTTTAATTAAATATGATTAATATTTAATCATATACGGAGTAGAAGAGATCCCAAGAGTGCTTATCTTTCAAAATAAGGGCTCGGCCAGATTGAGCTTTGGGAAGTCAGATTTGGACTCTCTATGCCAATTTTGACCTGGTCAAAATTCCCTAGTAATCTTGTCCAGAGCCTCCAAGTACCCTTCCTTCTCCCTCCGTCACTATCTCAGTTTGCTGTACTGTTGTTGCTAGAGAGAGCCTTCCGCTTTGTTTGCTGCTTTTGACCTTTCAGATATGGCAGCTGCTGGGTTGGCCCTCGGTCAGTACTCAGTATAATGATATGAGAGGGGAGAGGTGCCTTGGGTTCCGCTGCTGCCCTTTGTCATCGGAGAAAATCGTCGGCCGCTTGGACGCCAAGCTACACCACTGGATCTGGGGATTCAGCCGCCGACCTCAGGGCGAACCCCCGGCCTGGATTCGCTGGCCTGCAAGGGTGCCAGACTTCTCCGACCTGCAAGAAAATTCCATATTG